ATGGGGGTCACCCCAACCCTGCCGGGAGCCCTGGCTTGGCTGGCAGCTGGGGCTCTCCCTGCCAGCAACTGTGGAGCCTCCCCGACCCCACCCTTCTCTGCCGCTGGGGAGTTTATGAATCTCCCCAGAGCCGTAAGTCATGCTGGGAGCTGCTTTCTGCGCTTCCCCACAAGCAGCAAGCCGCGAGCAGGGATTTCCCGTCCTCTGTCCTCTCGCAGCCAGAGGCCCCAGAGCCGCACCTGGGACGCCCACAGTCCTCAGATGGGCTCTGTTCAGCTGGTCAGGCCCCCAGAGGGGCTGGGGTGGGTACATGAGGCAAACTGCTGGGCCTCCTGCCCCAAGTCCCCCAGCTCCACCCGAGGCCTGAGTCCTCTCCAGACGGCTCACAGGCGGCCGGCCACAGTGCTCCCTGGAGCCCCAGTGCTCCCTGGAGCGGCAGCCTGAGTGGGGGTCACGCCCAGAGGGACTGGAATGTGGGACAGTTGGTGGGGGAGCTGCCTCTGCACCTCCGTCCTCAGGACAGGGGGCCCCAACTGGGCACCAGGGCGGCACTTCACACAGGCCCCGGGTTCCCCAGACGTGGCTCCAGGGGTAGGAGAGGGAATAGCTTGAGAAACGACTTTTTTTTAAAGTTATACAATATTTTTTGGGGGGGGATTTCAAAGGCTTGCGTGCCTGTAAAACTTTTCTTAAAAAGTATGAAAAAGTTAAAAAACACAAAACACCCGTAATCGCACCACTCCGATAGAACCACTGCGACCATTTGGTTGTTTTCCGGGTTTTTTATGCATTTATATATGTTGTATATCTTTAAACAAAAATAGTATCATGCTATATACATTATTTTATAAGCTGCTTTGTCTACTACTCACACCTACATCAGGATCCCTTCCTCATCAGTGCATATAGGTCCGCCTTCATTACACAGGCTGCGTGGCATTCGCTGCTGTGGACGTGCATATATAGATAATCAGTCCCCGCCCATATCCCCGCTCTGCGCTGGGCTCATTCCTGGAGGTGAGGTTCCTGGCTCAAGGGGCCTGCATGTTTCTGAGGCTCTGCTTTCCAGAAAGGTCTACCCTCCCGCACAGCCGGGCGGCAGGAGGTGAGCGGGGCAGTGCCCCAGCCTGGGCCTGCCTGGCCGTGCCCCACTGATCCTCTGCCTTCTCCTTCTCTCTAGGGCTGAGCCCAGCAGAGCCACCGTCTTCCAGTACCCAGTCGGCTGGCCACCCGTCCAGGAGCTGCCGCCATCTCTGCGGGCACCCCCACCGGGGGGGTGGCCCCTGCAGCCCCGCGTCCAGTGGGGCTAGTCCCTCATCCACCCTGGCCCCTCCGGGTCAGCTCCCACTGCAGTCACAGTAAAAATAAGGGCTCCTGCTGGGGACGCTGGGGTCCCCTCCTGCTGTGCCCCTCGGAGCCTCTGAAGCCATTAGCTTGGCCTGGCCTGGCCCGGCTGAGGCGCAGGAGCGCCCCCACCCGGTGCAGCCCTGGCCCTGGCCAGTCAGCGCCACCCTCCCTCCCTCATGGGATGTCTGAGACGGGTGAGGAAACTTCCTGCTGGATGTTTATAAACAAAGTGTCACTACGGCGATATGGCTACGCTTCCCCCTTGCCCGGTGCCCTCGGCTCCCTGCTCTGGCCTCTGGTCAGATTGGAGTGATAGGAGGTCTTCTCCAGGGTGACCACGCTGGCTGCCCTGCTCCCTGGGGGCCGGAAGAGGGGGGCCAGTGTGGCTGCGACCATCACCCATTTGAGAAGCGGCTCCAGATCTGGGGAGAGAGCTCAAGGGCTCGGTCTGCCATTCCCGGTCCCCACATCTGTCTGAGCTGAGCCGGTACCCGAGTGTGACATGGCTCAGCTGGGGCAGGGATGAGCTGGGTCTGCAGCCTGGTCGGTGTAGAGAATGGGGGACCCAGGAACACAGGCCCTGGGCTTGAAAGAGCGGCCTGGGTGAGCCCCACCAGGCGGCTGCCCTGGAGGAGCCCCGGCCGGTGGGAAATGCGGCTGCTCAGGGCAGCTCTAGGCCCCTCTGCTTCCTCCTCACTATACTCCAGCTCCACATTCTGTGTGGGGTGGGAGGGGCAATGCAGCCTCAGGCACGGGGCCTCTCAAGGGGGGGAACCCAGAGTGGGGGGACTGCAGGGCCACCTCAGTTGCCCGCTCCTCCAGGAGCTTCTGCCCTCCCTGGAAATCCTGTTGATGTGGGAACTGAGGCCCAATCTGGGGACCCTCTGAGCTCTCACCTGTGAAATGGGCTGGTTCTCGGCCCTGTGGGTGTGTGACAGGCTGGGTTTGAG